AAATACAATTAAAATACAAATAAATAAAATATATAAATTGTTTGCTCTTATATAAAAATGTTTACTCTTATAATACATAAAAATAGATAAATTAGAATTAGAAAGATAATCTAAACAGAATTTTAGATCTACACAGAATCAGAATTTTTACCTAAGATTTTCTTTAAAGCTGACATAAGTAAAAGAAACAGGTTAGTTGTGGCTAAACTTTTGCCAGTTTGCTTGATTCACTTCACAAATGCTTTTTTTAAAGATTTTAAAAGGGAGCTGTAGTGTTTACATCATAATATGACGTGCCTCTTACCTTAAGGAAAGAACAGAGACAAACCTCTTAAAAATGAAGTAGGTAGATCCCAACACCAGTTTGAAGAAACCTATTTAACGAACATCGTGATTTTATACGCGTTCCTTAGAGAAGACTGAGTAAATTAGAAAAATATAAACTCAGCTATAAAATGTTGATGGACTAAGTTGTGGCTAGCTTAGGTCATGCATCATAACCTGAAAAAAAAAAAAAAAAATTAGTGAAATTATTAGAAAAAGCGACTTTGGAGAGAAAGTGCTGTGTCTGCTAAACAGTCACCAGTACTTTGTTGAAAGGCCTCTGTAATGACTACAGTTGGTGTTCTTTATGCATATGAAACCTGTAGCAGCAGGTGCAGAGTATATGTGGCAGCTGCTTTTTATATTTTAACACTGCAGAAAATGGACCACAAATAATAGCTAGTGGCGAGCGGAAGGAGAGAGGTTTCTGACTTGCAGTTTGACATATGTGCTTGATATTATTAGTCCTTTTATTACAACTTTTATTTGTTACTGTTTCAAGAAATGCCAAAGCAAATATGGAAATGAAAGCTGTTAGACTATTTCCTTCAGTTATTTTTGTCATTTTGGGGCTTGAATTACTTTGTTTTGGGATGCCATTCAACTTTTAGTTTGTTTTGCTCATGTGTTAGCCAAGTATAATGTGGGAGTTCTGTCTCAAGAAACTTGGTAAAATGTTATCTGAAGTCTTTCCACTTGTAATTATTAATCGAATGTCTACATTATCAAGACCAAGAAACAGGAAGTTGACTGAGTACAGAGCTTGTAATTAAGGAAAAGAAAGATTCAGTAAATGGGATTCACATAAAATTAAGGAAAGGGTTAAGCAAGCTTGTGAAATAAGAATTGAAATTGATAGAGATTGATTGATAGAGGTCTGAAGAAACTGTTGACTGTAATATTGTAAACCAGAGGAGAAAGGGATTCAGCTTTACTGGCTTTATTTTTTGATTGCTTCCCTGGGTTAAGTATGTTACTCCTGACCATGCTTTCTCTGTGTACAGCTGATGATATTCAAAAATTAAAGCAATAGATGGGTAAAACTGGAGTTTCTACTGTTAGTGAGGTTCAACCAGATAGAACCATGGCTGGGTATTTGGAAAGTATTCCTAGTTTTATGGTGACCTATATTGTGAAGAAGGCAACACATTCTCTGAACAGTTTTTTAAAATAAATTCTCCCTCTGCCTTTTTTAGATGTTTTCTGACATTTTCATGATAAAATTATGACTTCTGTTGGATAAGTGTCCTTTTATTATTATACTATTATATATTATATACGTGTAACCTATAATCTTGACCTGATAGATGCTTTGAATAAAAGCAGACTCGTATTTAAGTAAAATGACTTTTTGGGAAAAGTGGTAAATCAAGCTCACTGGTGCCTCATAAATCAAGGAAAATATAGTAAATTTGAGTGACTACAGAACAGCAAAAGTGCTTATGTGATTTCAGAAGGATGGAATGCAGAGATATGGTTAATGCACATGTGCAGCATACCTGTGGAAGTGCGTGTCAAAGTGAAATAACTGGTTACTCATTTCAGTGTGTTTCTAATCTCTTATTAAGTGTTTTTCATTGCTTAATGGATGAAATTAAAAAGTATGCATGACTGGTTTTAGTATTTAATAATTAATAAACTTTCTTTTCCTCCCTCCAGTATCATCTGTGGATTAAACCAGTACTGCGTCTAATTAAATAATGTTCTGAATTTAGATTAATTAGCTCATATTTCATAAAATATGCCCACCCCTCATGTGGGATGTGTAATTTATACATTCTAATGTATGAATTACCTTAGAGTAGTAGAGAAAAAGGACTGCTAACATGAGTAGCTAGGTATGATTATTATATGTATTATTTCTGTGGTGGATGAATTGGGACAAATTAATAAGCAAGAGCATCATCAGAAGTGTGATATTAGCAAGAGGAGTTAATTCTTATTATTTTAAGAATAACTTGCAAATTGTTGATACTGTCAGCCAGGAGGATCTTCACAGCGTTGATATAATTTGCAGAAGTCCCCGTTTGGCCAGGTTTGCTAGCACAAATGACAAAAGAGATTTTCCATGCAAGTGTACAATGTTTTCAAGAACTTCTTTTTTTTTTTTTTTTTTTTCTGGTTAGGTGGTTATTTTCAAATTACTCCTTCTTACAAAACCTGTTTCAAGTTGTCAGAGTTATATTAATGTACACTGAGACACAGCAGTCATAATTCCTTGCACTACCAACTTCAATTAACCTACTGTGTGTGTATATTTACATCTTGCTTTGTCCTGTGGTTGGGTTAAGGATACAGATAATCTGTGAAAACAATGAAAGATCTGTGCCACAGGTGAAGAGGGTGTTCTTTGGTATTTGTTTTCTTCTAGGCTACTTGTTAGGAATTGAGTGCAAAGACACTTCTTTAATAAAAAAGAGTGGTGCTGTTCCTTCTGCACTGAGAATGGGAGTAGGAGGGTTGGGGTTGAGGTGAGAGAGATGGAGCAGGGTCCTTTATGCATCTCAGGAAGAGAGGCCTGACAACAATTGGCTTCACAGGATAACTGTTTTAATCAGAATAAGAGGAGGAATACTGATAGTGAACAAGTCATCTTAAAGTCTTGTGTGCCCTGCATTAGCATGGCATCAGATTGTGCCCTGGTAGATTTTTGTGTGTTTTTTTTTGTTGTTGTTGTTTGTTTGTTTTTCTGGTGGCATGCTGTGTGAAGCAGATCCTCTCCTTGGAGAGAAGCTTTCTCTTTTGGTCATTCAAGTTAGTGTATCATTTCCTTACAAGAAAATTACTTCTACTCCTTGCTGCACTTCTAGACAAAGGCAGGGCCATGTGGGTGGCATGGATGGTTATCAGTACCAAGGAGGAGCTGCCTGCAGGTCCCTCTGTTATGCTGAAATGGCTGACGTTGTCTTGCAGCCAACAGATGCACGCAGCACAGCATGGACTAGTTGTCCCTAGCTCCTAAACGTGGAACACTCTTCCAGTCAACAATACTACAATCCTCTCCTGGATACTCATAACCTTTCCCAAAGGTATTTTCTAAGTTACACACCACACGAATTGCTCAACAGAGCAGAGATAACCTGTTCAAGATCAGCTTCTCCCATACAATGCCTTCTTCAAGGTTCCTGTACAACATGATCGTAGTAATGATTTCAACTTTGCTTTTGTTGTGTGAAATTTTAACAGTCCGAAGGAATTTTAAAGGGTTGTGATGTTTGGTCACTTTTTCTGGTGAAGTTTTATGAGCTTTTTGAAAGAATTGAGAAGAGCTGCCCTTTCATCTTCTGTTACGAAACAGAGAAAACCAAATATGGGAAGTAAAACAGATCATAGTGTTGTTTTTTTTTTTTATCATTAGAAAGATTAAGGGATCCAGAGAAACTGAAAAGCAGCAGAAGAACACAAGCAATTTTAATTTTATTCTTTCCCTGTTCTTGACCTGAAAATTGTCCAGTGCTGCTTGTTTTGATCTGCAGTTCTGTTTCATAAGATGACAATCAGGACTCATAGAGCATAGAAAAAGGGAGGCAATTAAAATATTAAAATTGGCTTACTAGACTGTGTGCCAAGTACACATATCACAGTTCTCATCTTCATGGCATTATATTGCGTGTCTATTGAAATTTATAAGAACGTGTTCAGGAAATAGCAGTGACAGGGAAAATAAGGGAACCTAGCAGTAATCCATTTGGGAAGACTGTTTCTCCCATTATTTATACAAACCATACATATATATATCCTCACCTTTCAGCTCGTGCTTGTGATCATCACTCCTGTGTCTGACACGCCTGGTTTGCTATCCCTTTGCAAATCATCCCGGTGAACGGTGTCATTCTTCATTGTCTTGGCTTGCATTGTATATTTGTGTTCTTTAAATTAAATGTCTGTGTAGTGTACTACTTCATTCTCCGCTATGGCTTATATGGGAGTTGTTATATGAATCATATGTGACTGCATGCATATGTTGTGGTTATTTTATAGGTGGTGATTCGTGCTCAAAATGGCGAACTCCTCTATCGTATTTCACCTTGGGCAAGATATGTAGTCCGTGATGAAGACAAAGTGAATTATGATTGGGTACACTGGAATCCACCACAGTCATATATAGTAAGGCTTAAGTATTTTCAAAAGGTGTATAAAACCATGTATCATATTGTCTTTATATCTCTGCTTGAAAAAAAAAAAAAAAAAAGAGGGTAACAAACCAGTTACAGTAGCTCCCTGAGAAGTGAAGGGGATTAATGGATTTGACAAACGCAAGTGACTTTAATGATAGATGTTATTGAGCTACTTTTTCAGTCCCACGGAGTATATAAAAAATGGTTACCTGTCAAAGTGGTATTTTAAACTTGGCTTCCCACATGCTAGGCAAGTTTGAAAACTATTCCAGGACTAGGCAGCCCTTCCTGGCACAGAGGAGAGCATGAGTTTTCAGAATTGAATTTAAGAGTTAGCAACAAATACAAAGTTGAGTACTCCAATAATAAGTCAAAGCTGTTTGCAATCAGAAAAAGCTTTCAAAAGTATGATGCGTATACTACAGTCAAATCCAAGTTTCTTTGTGTCAGGAAAATCCTTTTATTGATTTTTTTTTTAAAGCCCTCTTACTTCTCATATGCTGCTATAAGTGGGGGAATTTTTTACATGGTATATGGAAAATTATCTAGGAAATTGAGAAATTTCAGACTGATGTTATTTCACAATACACTTTTTGGTGTTTTTTTTTACTAAAAACTGGTATGCAGCGTTCTGTATTAGAGGAGCTGCAAATTCTGAGTAAAATTTTAGCATGCATCTCAAATTATGAAGCATCTGCTTGACAGAGAAAGGGTTACTCACATGGAGAAAAGGAGGTGGGAATATTTGGGTGCTGATTAAGGTCTTATTCGAGTTAAGTAAGAAAAAAATAAAGTCTGTTTATGAATAGGAGAGATGGAAGTAAAATAAAGGGAACAATCTGCAGCCAGAACTTCGTTTTCTTCACATTGTGCCTTTAATTTCTGTTCATGTACGTGTTTTTTTTTTTTTTTTTACTGGTTTTGTTCTAACTTTTCAGAACTTCACTTGACTATTAAACTAACAAATAGAACATGATCTTGTAACTGTTTTCTTCCCTCCCTCCAAATTAAACCTTCTCTTTTTGAAAAATAGGTTGTAAGCAATGGTCTTCCAAAGTTTCTTGAGACAACTCTTTTGTTTTAACAAGTAAAATCCCTGTAAAGCGTTAAGCTCTTCAAGTATACCGAGGAGGTTTTATGATGACCTTCAATTGTCTCTGTTTACATTAAGTATTGTCATCCATGTAGAAATAACGTGTACTCACCTACAGACTTGGGTTTTCTTTTTTTGTTTTGTAATCCTAAGTAACTGGAATATCAATGACTCTGCTGTGGCACAGTGTTCATGAGGACTAAAATGTTTATAAATTTTTGTTTGGAGAGGGCAGGGAAACTTGAAATACCTGGAAAAAGCAAGTATGCTTAAAAAAATAACCCCCCCCTATCTTTCTATTGCTTTTTTTTTTTTTTTTTTCAAAAAGCTTCACAGTAATTCAGAAGAACACGATAGTACAATGGCTAATATAAATTTGTGTGTAAATTAACACTTTTCTTATATCCTTTAAGTCGTGGTTTCTTGTCCATGAAGAATGTTAATTTGAAATGGACGTTTGCTTTAATCCTTCAGAATGCTTAATTCCTTCTGAAATGTTTGTGGTCTTAGAGGAAAAACAAACAAACAAACAAAAAAAAAACACCCTGAAATTGTTTTTCAGCTTGTGAAAATTGTGTGATTGTGACACTTCCAAGCTGTTGTATCCCAACAACAACTGTTTTTTTTTTTCTTTATAGCATAAGCATCCTTCTCCCAAGAGATTAAAAAGCCTAAGAATCTATGAATCTCATGTGGGGATTGCTTCCCCAGAAGGGAAAGTAGCTTCTTACAAAAACTTCACATACAATGTGCTACCTAGAATAAAGGATCTTGGTAAGTAATAACAGAGATATTTGCAGAGATAAAGTTTTCATCTGCCTGTGCTCTTATTAAAGGTAATTATCAGCTCTGTGTAGGTTTTTTGATTTTCAGGTCACATGTACTATAAAAATAGATTTTTAGGGCAGCAAAAAAATATAAAAAGTGGTATCTATGGAAAAGAAACAGAGACTGAAATGGAATCAAAATCCATTCCACAGATTAAGTAAAATGTTATTGCAAATTCCTAGGTAAGTGTTGCAGAGTAATATGATTTTAACATTGTTTTCTTTCCACTTGAAAAAGGACCTGTTGTTGTTTTTTTTTTTTTGAGGTAGTCCTTAGAATTGTTTTAATTGGTTTTACTAATGTGGATCTTGATTCTAAGGAAAGACAAAGAAGTACCTGAATAGAAAGTATTGACCTTTCTGTTGGCCGGAATAAATGTGCTAGATGTTTTTATCCCTGAACAGTTGGTATGAGCATAGAAACTTTAATGTGAGAAATCCTCCTTTAGAAGAAAATTTCTGTTATATTGAAGGGTGTGTATTGTAGAAACAGCTAGCATGATTATCTCAGGAAGCACAGCAAACTTGTTCACACCACTTTCTGTTCAATATTTTTTTTCCTGTGGCATCTTTACACTTTGTCTATAATGGACAATATCAGAACTTGATGGGTTTTACTGCCCTGTGATGAAATACATTTTGTTTCATCCAACTGTAGAACAACTGTGACATCCCATGGCTGATACTTCTGTAGATAGTAGCTTTGCCTATATGTTATTTGATGTTTTTTATATTTATTTATCACAGTGCCTGAAGGAGCCATGTGTTTTTCTTGTAGATTTACATGCTGAACCATTGTTTCACAGAACGTGGCTTTTACCTCTCAGTATAGCTGAGCTTGCAGGTGAAATGAGGGAGTTGGCACATCTGGAGGCCCTCAAAAAATGTAAAACTGGATTCCACATTGTGTGTCTGTGACTTTCTCTACTGTCAAAGAATTTCAGTCATTCCAGGAGGTTAATAAATTTAATGGAAATATGAAAGCTTTCTGCTTTACTGGCAGATTTTACTTTGGAGAGGAGAAATGTCCTGAAAAGGCACATACACCAATAAATAAAACTAATATCAAAAGGAGGTGTGGTGTATACAGAAATTATACATAATATTTGTTCTCACTTAAATTAAGTAAACACTGTGGGAGTTAAATATTTTTTTTTTTAATGTATTTTATAAGGAATATTAAGAGTTATGTAAGTGATTTAGTTTTGGAATGTCTTGCTAGATCAAGTTTAAAGACAACAGCATTTAAGAATATGAAGATATTAATAGTTCATAAAAATATGTATATGACATATCAAAATAAATAGCAAGTAAATTAAATGAGATTAATTTGATGCTACGTTGCATCAAATGAATCAAAAATTATAAAAATGCTGTAAGTAAATGTAATAAGCTTAAATGATAAACCAGCAACAAATCTGACAAATTGCTGAGTTCATACCAACTATCTTCTAATAATAGCTTTTTTGTAGTTGCAAAAAGTTTAAACCAAAACTAAGAACAATGAAGAAGAAACCCTTATTTTGTCAAACTAAAGAATGAAGTGACAATTTTGATTAAATTAATAAAGAGAAGTGGTGGTGGTGGGAGACTCACCAGACTGTAGATTAACTCTGAAGGTTATCTTGTGATGATAGTCCTTATTTGGTAGCTGTCTGGGGCACTTTTTCACTGCTGCTAAAGATTACTGTAGTTAAAATGTATGGCAAGTACTGTGGCTTCACCCTTAGTATCTTGTTTTCTGTTCAGACCTACCCCTTTTTAATAGTGCACTGCACTGTCTGCTGCAAGAGACAGTGTATCTCCTACCCTCCTGCACTGCCTCGGTTCTTGGGTAAACTCAGAACAAAAGCACGTTAGTTCTCTGTTTTCTTTCCTGAAAGACTTGTAGAGGGGGAATTTAATAATTAAAGCTGGACAAAAGTGGTTCTTAAATGGTAAAAAATAGATTCTGTAGGGCTTAAGATATAGTTCAGGTAGCCAGTGACTTACCGCCAAAATCCCCGAGTGCAAACGTCAGAAGCAAAGCAGAAGTTCAGGACATGCGGATTGATATAGGCATAGTTGATATTCCAAAGCAAAAGTCAGGTTATATCTGCATATCAGTTATTGCTTTTTAAATCAATTCACCTAGATTCAATACAGCTAGTTATATTCAGATCACTTGACAAACTGACTGTTCTATTTTAATGGAAGGTCATATAGGTATCAACTGTTAGGTGGAATTACTTCTTAAGAAATCTCAGTCTTTAGTTGCTAGAGTTAGAATTAGCTGAAGTGAGAGAAGACTGGAATAGGTATGTGACAGCTGTTCAGTCTTCTTTTAGCTATCCTTAAGGCAAAGGTTTGTTTCGTTTATTTCTTCTATTTTTATAGGATATAACTGTGTCCAGCTGATGGCTATTATGGAGCATGCATACTATGCCAGTTTTGGTTATCAGGTCACAAGCTTCTTCGCAGCATCAAGGTAGGTTTAAGGTCTTCCGCATCTTCTATTCTTTTACCTTACACCCCATCCATTGAAATCAGTATGCCTGGTAGGTGTGTGTTTGCAAGATAGTGTTTAATGGAGAGGGAAAGAAATGGCTTTGGTATTTGCTTTAGCTTCCTCTTAATCTGAAGTCAATTGGGCATAGTCATCAGCTATTCTGTGAAACACTTCATATAAGATATAAACAAAAAGGTTAGGTGTAACTTCAGCTGTCATAGCATATTCCAGCTCATCCAGCTTCAGTAGTCTTATGCATGGATTTTGTTGTGGAATTCCTGGCAGTAACAAACATTTCTAAGTCATTCTTTTATAATAAACAGAACTGTACCTTACTTGATCATAATAAATGTGATTAAAATCATGCCTCTGTATGTTCCATGGGAACTTTTCCCCATGCTTGTAACAGACTGTACTTAGATTTGAGGCCTAGGCTGAAAATAGGTGGGAAATGCATTTGGGTAGTCATTAAGAAAATAATGAAAAAGCTGAATGTTGTCACTTGAGCTTCACCAACATGAAAAAAAAGTCACAGCTATGCTAAATTTAGATATACGGGAAGTTTTAAGTGGCTTAATCAGTTGAAATAAATGTCAGACAGCAGGCAAGAATCTTTATTTAAACAGTTGGAAAATAGTGTAGTACTCAAAACAAATAACTAAGCAGGACAGTGGCTGATGAGGTATTTTGGGGATGTTCCTGTATCTACGTTTACTTTTGTAGTCATGATGTATTACTTTATTCCAGTAATATAAATATATACTTTTCTCTTATGAAGTAAGGAAGCTTTCAGTATTAAATAGAATCTTTAAGTTGTACCAGTTATCTCTAATAATGAATTTGATGTATTAATAGATTAAAAGGGAAGAATAAATGTTTGAAACTATTTCTACAAAACATTGTTTATGGGGTGTAACCTCACCTGGAGTATTGTGTCCAGTTCTGGGCTCCCCATTTCAAGAGGGACAGAGATCTACTCGAGAGAGTCCAGTGGAGGGCTGTGAGGATGACTGGGGGACTGGAACACCTGCCATATGAGGAGAGGCTGACAAGCCAGGGGCTTTTTAGTCTGGAGAAGAGAAGATTTAGCAGGCACCTAATTAATGTGTATAAATATATGTGAGCTGGGTGTCAGGAAGGAAGGGGCAATCTCTTCTCACTTATGGCCTGCGATAGGACACGGGGCAATGGTCACAAGCTGGAGCACAGGAAGTTCCACCTCAACATGAGGAAGAACTTCTTTACTGTAAGGGTTCCAGAGCACTGGAACAGGCTGCCCAGGGAGGTTGTGGAGTCTCCTACCTTGGAGACTTTTAAGACTCATCTGGATGCGTTCCTGTGTGACCTGCCCTGGACTGGATGGACCTGCTCTGGCAGGGGGGTTGGACTCGATGATCTCCAGAGGTCCCTTCCAACCCCTAACATTCTGTGGTTCTGTGTAGTTGTCAGTTTGAAATCAAAAGTTGCTACTTAAGAAGCTGAAAAAATAACCTATATGTAACCAGAAGGTGGTTGATGAACTACTGACTTTGATGTAGTTTTTATGAGTTGATCATTGTCAGCTTAAGTTCAGACTGTACCACTCGTATCACGTTGCATTTTCATGTCCGTAGCCGCTATGGAACTCCAGACGACCTGAAAGAAATGATTGACGTTGCTCACTCAATGGGCATCACTGTTCTATTGGATGTTGTGCACAGTCATGCATCAAAAAACTCTGAAGATGGTCTCAACAAATTTGATGGTACAGATTATTGCTTCTTCCATTCCGGTCCCAAAGGAACTCACCAGCTCTGGGACAGCAGGCTCTTTGACTATGCAAAGTAAGTGCAAAGTGTCACTTCAGGTGTGTTAGTGGTTATTATTTCCTATTGTTTCTCTTAATACTACATTATTTACCACACTGGGAAAGTAATTTGGGTTGTTGAACAGTTATGATATGCTGTGTTAAATTCCTTTTCTTTGCTAAATATTTAATACCTGTCACTAAATAATAGTATCTACATTTTGTTGTTCTTCTGTCATCTTAACTACGTATGTACCTATTATATACCATGTGCATTGTACGTGTTATATGTGGTTAGATTATGCAGTTTTATTTCTTTTTAAAATAGATACAAGGATTTCTATATATAGATACATTTATGTAATTTATGTATGATGAAACATTTGTATTTTTATATCAAATATATAGCTTCCATATTGTATATAAATAAATAAATAAATAAAAAGCTGAAGACAACTTGTAAGCTCTAGAAATTTACTGTCAAACTGTCAAGTTGTTGAAATGTAGCAAAATTTTGCCCCAGGACAGCTAAATCCGTTCCAAAAAGCTTTCAGAGGATGATCAACAGTTAATACAGATTAGGGGTGATTTTCAGTAGGCAGTTAGAGGGACCTAGTTTGGGCACACTTTAACTAGTATAAATATAGAGTGTGTGTGTGTGTGTGAAGCCACTTGTAAATGCCAGATGATGATTAGCTTTTAATGTTGTTTATTTTGTTTTCCCTGAGGTATTGTGAGTGAGGGGATTTATCTCGTATGCTGAATATTTCAGTGGTTTAAATGGAGAAACAGGCACAAGAAGCCAGCTTATTAGAGTCTCTTCCATTTTTCCCACGTTCGTTCACCTGTGAACCACCTTGATTCTTCCCTTTCCCTGTCTCTCATTCTTCCCCTGAACATCCCACAATGTTATGTACAACTGCACAGTCTCCTTAAAGAATTTCTTCATAATTTTTTTTTTACAGGGTAACTCAGCTCTTATTCCATGATAAATTCACTGTTTTTTTCCCCCCTTCTTGAGGTATATGATCATCTTGTTTGCTCTTATCAATTAGAGTTCTGCTTTAACCTTTTCAAGATTACCCTTGAGTGGTCACTTCAGTGGCTCATCACTGGGCAGCTGTAGAATTCTACTCTTAATTGTAAGCTTTTGTGTGCTGCAAGCTCAATTTACTGTGTTTCCCCCTGTTTTTCTCCCTCACTTGCATTGAATAGCCATTAACTGGATATACTTAAGTAGCAGATGTCCTTAGATCTTGGATCGGGATTACGTATGTTTAGTTAGTTGTCAAAAGATTTTTCGTCTTGTACTCATAAAGTTATACTGTTGAGGCTGACAGTTTCATAGCTTGTGGGACTGTAACTGTTTAAGAAGGTCACTATTGCAGAAGTAATGTTAGAGAACATAGGTCAACTCTTTAATGGAGACTCTTGCACAGTAACTCACAATTTCAGCTAGAGCAAGTGACCAGTGTAATAAGTGTCTTATCCATTGTTACTTAATAGGATGAGCCCTTCTTTTATTTATTGGGGGGGACAATTTAACTGATACATTCAGGGGACCTTTTTGAATTCTTATTTTAATTATTATAAGGAATGCATTTGTCTAATAATAGGAAGCAACTCAGACAGGAAATTAATCTTTAAATTCCTATGCAAATTCTATTTCTGATAGTATTAAAGCTTTAATATCAATAAAATATTTCACTCTTTGTATCATTTTATGCTTACATATAATCAACAAGTGCATAGTACTGACTTCTCTAGTGAGAAATTAAATTCAATGCAGTTATGCACCTTTCTCTTTTTCAAGCAGAGGCAGATTCTTTCTATTGGAAAGAAAGTGGTGCTGGTATTGAGTGGTTTGGAAGGATTCGTAAATGGAAGTAACATCAAGCTGCCTGCTAGCTAGCACTTGGCAATGTTAAGCATTTATTCAGAACTGAAGAACTTCCTACACAGGTCTGTTCAGTGTCATGAGCCTGTACTCACTGGGGAGAGACATGGCTGTGTAATTTTGTCACTTTTTCAGAATAGATGCCAGTCTAAATGCTGGAAAGAGGAAGTGGAAAGCACTGTGACTGGGAGGGGAGAGATTAGGAAATACCGGAGGCCAGAGAATCTGAATCTGTGCCCTACTGATGAGTAAAAATAATGCTTTGTATGACTTAGAGTTCCTTGTATGTCATTCCCCATCCCCTGCCCTCTAGTGAAAAGCAACAACAAATTTAGAGTTCCTTTTTTAAACTTCTGGGAAACTCCTCCTTCCCCTTTAAGCACAGCAAGCTGTGTGGTAAACTGGTTTTAGTCATTAAGGGCTGCTTTAGTCCTAGTATCTGACATGTCAAGCATTCTCTATGTATTTATAGTCAAATTTTAAGGCTTAAAATATATAACAATCATGCTTATTCTAAGTTACTCAGAACTGATTAATTTTTTTTTATCACCTTTTTTTTGTGCATACAGGTCTCAATAGAGTCAAAACTGACATTTTATTGAAAATGTTTTTTGTTTTCAGTTGGGTTTTTTCTATTTAGGCTTTATTGACATGCCTGCTAATTTCCATACCAGTAAATGAGCAGCTCAAATCTGAAAGAGTATAAAAATCAGACTCAAGTTGCTTGCAGGTGCTCAGTGTTTGCTGAAAATAAATGACACCAAACACAATCTATTGAATGGTGTACAGGAAAGCTTGCTTTCTGAGGCAGAACTCTTTGGCTAGTGCAGCCTTATCTCTTCACAGTGCTTGTGCTGAGTCCCTTTCTTTCTGTGGTGGAAAGAACTGTTACATCTACAGGTACTTAAACATCAAATACAAAGAATGCTCAATTTACTCTGGGATTGAGAGAAACTAATTCTCTGCCATGAGAGAGACTAAGAACCAATTGCTTTGTCAGTTTAGTCTGTCTACGTTTTCTTTGAAAGCCAAGACATAAGTAAATTTGTCTCACAGCATTTGCAAGATTATTCAGTTTTCTGGGAAAGGGCCCGTAAATACTTATTGTAACAGAAGGTGGCTGAAGATCTATATCCACACCAAAAAAAAAGGACTATACCCGTGGTGCATTTTAAATACTACATTTTTGCTACTGAGGTAGAGAGAGAGTAGTGCTAAGGAAAGCAGTAGTAAAACTGTTCAAAGGACAGCCCAGATGCTGCATCTCTAGCACCACAGTGCAACTTAAAGTAAATGTGTATTTTGTATTGTGGACTTTGAGATAACTAATGAGCAATAGAACTGGTTTTTTGTTTGTTTGTTTTAATATATGTGTTGTATGAATGGTGGACTTTTTGATAAACTGTAAACAGCAGCTTAAAAATTATGCTTTTCAAGGTGTTGTCACATGAGAGTAAAACCTAAATTTCAGCAAAGTGAGAATTTGGAGGTAAAATAACTGGGTAAGTAGAAGAATATTTTCTGTTTAACATTTTTTACCATGAAGAGTATTATAAATTCTGCTTTACAAAAGCAAGAAAAATGCAATTCAGAAATTAACTTCCCCTTTCATACTTTTGGCACATTTTCCCAATTTTTCTAAAATCTGGAACTGGACATTTTTTTTCCTTAATGTTAATTTGATACATTTTCCTCTCCTTCATCTACATCCCCTCTTCATCATCCCCATGTCTGATTCTGTCTCCCCTGCCCCCTCACCTGCCAACCTTAAAACCAGAACCACAAAGCCTGAGTAAAGATTGCAGTTTATTTTTAAGTTATTCTAAGTTTTGTGTTTGGTTTGTCTGTTTGTTTGGTTTTGTTTTGGTTTTTTTTTCCCTCTTTAGTACTGTGACACTTTTCACTCGAGCACTTAGCCAAAATTTTAAGCTCTTGCTCAATCTAGGAGAAGAATTCGTCAGAAAAGTCAGAGATTGAATTACATTCTGGTTTTAATTACAAAGTCCTGCTTCCTTGAATGCAGCAGTATGATCAGCAACAAGGTTCTGGGGCCAGCAGTCATCCCTGGC